CGGGTTTCTTTTCCTGGTGTGAGGACGGGAACAGGTTCCCCTGAGTTCTTCGGGAATCCTCTAACTCCTCCGAACGCATGCCAGAGGTTTCGGAGAGTCTGAAGATGCTCTCTGAGGTCACACAGTAGGTACCATCACAAATGTGTCTCGACAGACCAAAAGGATGCATTTTTCCCCAACTACTACCAAAAAGACGGTTCAAAATCGGTTTGGTGAACGCCGATTAAACGCGAAGGACGCTCTAGTTTCGCAGCTTCACTGTGGAGCTGCTACTGCACACACGAGCTCACAATCACATCACACAACCATAGTCCCCTTGGACATAAGCTGCCGGTCGAGTGACATGCAGCATAAACAGAGTTTTAAAATCAGCTTAGTCGACTTCATAGACACACAGACCCCACGGTCTTCATGCTACTACAGTAACTCCATCTTCACAGTAAAAACATCAGGAACTCCCAGAGAGCCGCGGCCTCGGCCCGGATGCTCGGTGCTGGCCACGGGACCGACAGCCCGCTGGCTCCTGGCTCGCAAAGAGCCGTTTGGCCGAGGAGGCAAACCCGGCCAAGGGAGGGCCGCAAGTCCAAACTAAAAGGGCAGTGCACAGGGAGGCAGGGCCACTTCCTCCCGGGAGGAGCCCACAGCCCTTCCCAGGCACGTCACAGGTGTCCTCGCTGAGAGTCCACGGTCGCCGGAATCAGAGTCAGAGCGGAGTGTGGACAGCCACCGGGTGAGCGCTGCCCTGGGCCCTCCGCACACGCGGCTCACTGAGTGACGCATGTGCTTACGGTGGCACTGGGGACATGGGGAGCCCCGTGTTGCACAAAAGAGTCCCAGTAAACTACAGATGACCATGAGAGGTCGACCCTCTGACTGCAGAGTGGTGGCAGTGTGCCGGCTTAAAATGTGTCCGCCTAGCAGCCCAAGTTTGCCAACCCCTCTCCGAGTCCCCTTGGGCTCACTCAGCAATTGCCGCGTTCGGGGCAGGGGAGTCTGGATGAAAGTCACAAGAATAAAGTCACTGTGGCAAGCCCCTGCAAGACTGACCCTCTGTGCAAACAGGTTTTGGTGGTTTCTTGTTTTCGGAAACATCCAGAATTACAACTGGCCACTGAGTTATTCAATTGAAACAAGGTGGTCTTAAACTGAAAGAAGACACTGCAGCGTGCTGAAGGATCACGCCTGCTCCTCTGGGGATGCAGCCAGGGACACAGCCTCTCCTACTTCTTCTTCCTCTTCTCCTGAACGCACCGAGGACAGAACCTGTGAGGAGAAAGGCACAGGGACCGGCCCTTTGCGTCACTGCTGCGAGCATGGGAGACACCAGGCCCTGTCCCCGGTGAGACGGCGCCAGAGAGAGCCACATGCATGGTGGGGCCTCGGCCCTCCGGCTGGGGGAAGCCGCTGCATGCGTCACCCTGCATGGGGCGTCTGCTTTGAGGGTGACAGAAACATCAATGGGCAAAATCGTTTTTGTACAAGATGATCAGATGGACCATTCTTCCCTGGTCACTGGTGATAACAGGGTCACTGGTGCCCACAGTCGAGTGCGTCTTTCACAAGCACTCCCTGGGGACTGTGGGCCAAGCACATTCTGGAGCCTCAGACTCGGGGCTGCTCTGAACGCTCCTGGACAGTGGCAGCCACCCATGACTCTATGGGACATTCTAGTAGGTCCCCAGGCGGGGGCAGCTGATGCACGTGTGATGCCTGACATCATCTCCTGCAGGATGTGGGCCTAAGCATGCCCAGGCCCGCCTGTGCTAACAGCCTCCATGCACAGCATGCAAGCCTCAGGATGCAGGCCACGCTGCAAGTCTGTCAGCCAGAAAGGGCCAAGGCTTACTCACCAGGGAACAAGCCACAAAGAGACCTCTGCGTCCCCGCTCCACCCCCACCCATCACGGAACAAGCCACAAAGAGACCTCTGCATCCCTGCGCCACCCTTGCTTCAGCCCACCCCACCCCACCAGCTCTGCGTGTCCTCCGAGACCCCAGTTTACACGCTCTCACAGATGAGCAGTGACAGCTCCCATCACTTCCCATTGCCTACTAGATTTTTCCACCTGCAAGTCTTGCAAACAACTCAAACTCCCAATGTCCAAAATCAAACTCAAATCAGACCTCCCTGCCTGGTGCTCTACCCCAAAGCACACCGCCTGCTCTTTCTCCCGCATCCCTTTCACCAGCTCAGGAACCACCATCCCTTCAGAAACAGAGCCCAAGCATGGTGGCAGCTGTCACAGCACCCCACCTGATAGAGACTGGTTACATGGTGGCAAGAGAATGCTGACAGAAATATGGACAGTAAAGACCCTTCCAAGGAGGCTCAGATAGAAATAAGAGGTTTATTGGAAACTGGGGAAAGGTCAACTTTGCTGTGAACTGACAAGGAACCTGGCTGCATTGTGTCCATGCCCTAGGACTTTGTGGAAATTGGAACTTAGGAGTGGGGAACCAGACCATTTGGCCGAAGACATTTCTAAGCAGCAAAGCATTAAGAAAGCTGCATGGCTACTTGTGACAGCCTATGCTGAGTTATGGTGGCAAAGGCATGACATAAAGCCAGAACTTAAAAGGGAAGCAGAGTGTAAAGATTTGGAAAATTTGCAGCCTGGACAAGTGTTTGAGAAGCAGAGACCATTTTCAGAAGAAAAATTCAGTGGTGTTAAGAAGATTAACACAAAAGTACGGGATTATCAAGAGAAGGGGAAATGGGCCCTGAAGGCATTGCAGAAGCCTCTGGGGCCAGCCCTTCCATTTCAGGCCCAAAGGCCTAGGGAGAGAGAATGGTCTTGGGGAACAGGCCTAAGACACCCTCCACGGGCTCACTGCCCAGGACCACCTCAGGAATCTGCTTCCAGCACCAGCACCCTGGCTGCTTTGGCTGCCCCAGCTGTGGCTAAATTGTCCCCAGGTGTGGCTGGACCCACAGCTTTGGAAAATACAAGCCTGAAGTCTTGGCGGCATCCACATGGTGTTAGGTCTGCAGGCTGACAGAATGCCAGGGCTGTGGAGGCTTGGGAGCCTCCACCCAGATTTCAAAGGATGTATGGAAAAGCCTGGGGGCCCAGGAAGAGATCTCTCACAGGAATCGAGTCACCACAGACAACCTTCCCTAGAGCAATGCTGAGCAGAAATGTGGGGTGGGAGTTGCAGCAAAGAAACCCCAACAGTGCCATGTCTAGTGGAGCCATGAGAACGGGTCTGCCATGGAGACCCCAGACCTGTGGAGCTACCAACGTGCAATGCCAGCCTGGGAGAACTAAAGCATCACCTGAGACCAGGAAAGCCATAGGAGCAGAACTGCCTGAGGACTTGGGGACCCAACCCCCACAACAGCATGCAGAGGTCGAACATGGAATCAAGACACCTGATTCACCAGCTTTGAGATTTAATGCCTGCCCTGCTGGGTTTCAGACTTGTTTGGGACCTGTCACCCCTTTCTTCTGGTCTATTCCTCCCTTTTGGGATGGAAATGTGTACCCAATGTCTGTTCCACCATTGTATCTTGGAAGTAGATAAATTTGGTTTTGTTTTTACAGGTTCACAACTGGAAGGACTTTTGCTTTTGGTCTCAGATGAGACTGTGAACTTTGGACTTTTAAGTTGGTGCTGGAGCAAGCTAAGACTTTTGGGACTGTCGGGATGGAATGACTGTATTTTGTATGTGAGAGGGACATGAGTTTTGGGGGTCAGGGGAGGAATGATAGAGTTTGGATGTGTTGTCCCTGCCAAAACTCACGTGGAAATTTGATCCTGAATGTGGTGGCAGTGTTGGAAACTGACTGAGTCATGGGGGTGGATCCTTCATGAATGGATTAATGTTTTCCCTGGGGGAGGGGGATTAATGAGTGAGTTCTCGCTCTGTTATAGTTCCCACGAGGGCTGGTTGTTTAAAAGATCCTGGCACCTCCCTCTCTCTCTCTGCTTCCACCATCTTGCAATGTGAAACCCCTGGGTCACTGTCACCACCACCACATGGACTTTGGACTTCTCAGCCTCAGAAACTGTAAGCAAACAAACTGCAATTTCTTTACAAATCACCCATTTCCGTGTATTCTGTTATAGCAACACAAAATGGACTAATACACCACCCCACCACCAGTCCCTGCCCATCACATCCCTGCCAGGCCTGGGGCACAGCAAGGGCTATGTCCCTTCTTGGAATTCCATGGGCTCTGTCCCACAGCACACACAGGCAGGGAGCTGTGTGGTGTCACCGGTGCCCAGGACAAGGCGGGCTTGTGTCAATATCCTGTGAAATCAGTGAGCTGGATCAGGAGCCCTCAGCCACATGGCATCCACCCCTCCTTTTCCCCCACTGTCTCACAAAGACCTGAGGACAACTTGCTCTCACCAGCCAAGGACTAGTCCACAGGAGTGTCTATCCATCTACACAACAGGCAAACACACCACCGTGACAAACGCAGGGAGCTACACGTAAGGAGGGCAATGTTTCTACGGTTTCATCTTGAGAACACACATCCATTCTCAGCACAGCTAAACAGAACCAGGCTTGCACTTAAGTAAAATCTTAGGAACCACAATGCACAAAGTTGCCACCGCCAACTGCACCGGCGATCAGAAGAGGAACCGCCCAGGCCTCCTGCACCGCGTCTGGATTACACAGACACCCACCCACCCGGCAGCGCGCCAGCCCACGCCGTGTTCAGCAAGTTTAATTCTCAAACTCTTCACCCTTTCTCAAAATTTCCCTAGGGGAGAAGACCCCTCATTTCTCATTTCTATTTACAGTGATCTCTACCTCATTCAAGTGTCAGAACAACTGTTCTTTAGGAGGATAATGCAAATGTAAACATCATATAAACATAATGACACGTCCCTGGGTAAGGCAGGCAGCAGATGTCAGGTGCTGCGGTGACACCAGGGCACCCACAGCCACACCAACAGCAGCCAGGCAGAAGACTCGGGTCCCGCTAAGCTGCTGCCACCCAGCACCAGCCTCACAACCCAGTTCCTGGCAACCAAGAGCCTTGTCTCAGGAGAGGCCAGCAGCGTGACGCCCAATGGCCGGGAGGAGATGCAGCCAGCACCCCCATACTGACCATTTTCCTTTGGGTTTCGTCGTAAGGTCCACGCAGGCAAAGTGAAACCACTCGATTGGACACTGCAACATAAAGGGAAAAGCTGCAGTCAGCACCTCGCGTGCTCTGTGCATGGAACACAGGAAATGCCGACACCCCCACCCACCCTGTACGAGACCCAGCCCCAGCACCAGTGTGTCCCACTCACATCTGGATTGTCACAGCCGATCATCTCCCCATAGGACACCTGGTGGCACAGGCAGTACGTGGGCTCGTTTGGATCCACGGGCATGTCCAGCACGTCGGAGGGATGCACAGACAGGATGGCATCAGCGAACTCGGACCTGCACGGGAGGGAGGCACGGGCACCACTGACCGGCCCGCAGCAGAAAAAGGCAGCACGGGGCCTCTGCGGCCCTGCTGCCTCTGGCCCAAGGTCCCTCAAATGAGGCTTCCAAGAGGGAAATCGTAACATGCTCTGAGCTACTCATAGGGAATGACCTTGCTTCCATCGTCCTGACTGCTACATGGAGACCCACACGGCTCCCAGTACCTGCTGCTGAAGACACGCACCGAGTGCACGCTTCGTGGGCGTTTTCTTCCCCAACCAAACACTTTCAGCCAAAACCTCAGTAACGTCTCTGACCTAGCACTGGTCTAAGAATTTATAGTAAGAAAAAGGTTTCACTAGAATATCGTTAACCACAAAAGTCTAGAAATGGCAGCAGTGAGCAGCAGAGGGGTGGGACATATCCCCCCCAACACACACACATGCGTGCCAGACAAGCATGTGGGGCATGAAGGACAGAGGGCGCCTGACAGCTGTGCAGTGACACACATCCACCACACAGTGTCAGGGGTCCCGTCCCACAATGGGGACATGCTCCCATCCTTGTCTCAGTCCCTCCCCTCGGGCCACCCTCCTCAGACTCCTGCTCCTCCTCCTGTCTGGGGCATGCACACATCACCAGCACACAGCGGACACTGGAGAGAAACCTACTGCAACCCACCCCAGACCCACCTAGGTGTTGGCGCGGGCCTGCATGCTTGCCAGCTCCCCCGTAACTGTGACCAACGCGCCCTCCTCCCATGAGAATGGCGGGCATGCCTGTGCCCAGGCCCACACGTCTACACAGGTACCTTCACCCCAAAACCCATGAGACCCGACAGCTCCCCTCTCCCTGCCTCGAGCTCTAAATCTCAGGAGCCCACACCGCCCCCTGCTGCCCACCTGGGCATCTCAACAGCAGCCTAGCCCATTGCCACCCTGCCCATGCCCCCCTCCAAGTCTGCAGCCCACAGCACTGCAGCCGCATCATCCACACTGCTGATCTGGGTGGAGACACTCACCTCTTTGAAAGGGGCATGCTTATGGGGAAATTTATTCTTTTAAGTTTCAGTATTTTGCAAATAAACTTGCAAGCTGCGGAGTAGTATAGATAGTACATTCCATTAGTATAAAAAGAAAAAAAACCTTCCCTACCCCATGCCCTAAAAACCATGAATATATATTGCCATATAAATATGGCAAGTTACCAGGAGGAATATGGCGAAGGGAAGATGAACGTCACCACCAGGATGAAAAGAAAAGCAGGAGTGTGGTTCCCAGAGGGATTTTCCTTGTATACCTGTCTAAAAGTTTTCTATGACTTTGCACTGCACCTGGCACAAGTGCCACCCAAGAGGGCTCCAGGCCAGCCTGAGTCTCTTTCCTTCGCAGGTAATCTGCTCATCTGCTCTCTCTGGGAATACACAGGATTTTCTCTTCATATCTGAAATCCATAAACATCACAAAAACATATCCAAGTCCGTAAGCTCTGCCGATATTGCCTTCAAGACCAGCCACAGTAGTCCTTCAGGCTGGGCAACTGTTTCTCTGCTTCTCCTCTGAGAACGGCAGGGGGTGTCCATGTCCCATCCGACTGCTGGGTGTGTCCTACCCATCAGCAGGGCCTGCGCAGCCTGCCGTGCACCACCACCTGCCTCTGGGAGTCAGCGCAGCAGCCTCTGGCACACCACCCACAACCCACCTGAGCCCTCCTCTCCTGCACTGACTATCTCACTGGTCTGCACTGTGCCCACAACACTAGACCCCACTGAGCCGCCAAGTGACCTATGTCTGCAGAATCAGCAGGCTCAAGGGCACTGGCCAGATCCGGGGGCAGCTAGAGAGGGCAGAGGGGCTGAGGGGACCACCCAGCAAGGACACCCCAGAGGCTGAGGCTGGCGTGGAAGCCCCCGCATCACAGCGTGTCACCCACCTCTCCAGTCCTACCTGAGGGAAGCAGCCGGGAGCACAAGGAGCCCCGTCCCTCGGGGAGGCTGGGTTGCCCCTGCTGCCAGCAGCTGCCTCGCTCTGGCCCTCCGGCTGCAAGAGGCATCCTCCGTGCTAACTCTCCTGGGCTTGGCCTGCACACCCTGAAGCTCCTGCCCTTGCGATGTGCTCCCCCAGCACTCCAGGTAGCCTTCAGCAGAGGCAGACTGCTTGCTTGTCCAAGCTTGGGGAGTCCAGGGGCTGCAGGACACTGCCCCCACCCACACACGCAGGTCCTGCCTTGCCAGAGAGCAAGGCGCCGGGGCCGCGATGGTGCGGGGTGGGGGAGGGGCCGCCTCGGCTCCCAGGATCTCAGACGTGAAATGAGAAATGTCTGCGAGGTCTGGGAACCGTCCGCTCCAGGAAGGCTCCTGGCCCTAGCCAGGTGGCAAGTGAGCCTGGAGAGAACAAGGCCACAGGGACATGACCAAGTGCATTCCTAGGTCCCCAACAGGGAAAAGAGAAGCTGCCAGGACGCAGGGCATCGCCAGGCGGGTTCCCGCACATGTTCCAGGACGAGGTCATGAAGCCACACCAGCCCCACCCCCACCCCTAGCAAGTCCCGGGTTTGATTCCATCCTAACGGGTTTCTCAGGACGCTCCCTCTGGCACCAACACGCTCCTCACATCGCTCTGGAGATGGCCTGTACAGCACCTTGGACATCAGAGCCAGAGTTCAGAGCAGGCCCCGGCATGCCCCTCCCTCCAGCTGGCCTCTGGCCTGTCTCTGCATCTGTGAAACAGGACAGGAACCACACAGCCGCTCGGGTGGTCTGCGTGAGGGTGTGGACTAAGACGCGCCAGACCCAGGGGCTCGCCGCCAGCGCCGCACAGACGTCGCCGTCTGGGATCACCCCTTCCCGTCTGCCGCTGTTGTAGATGGCCTGGAGAGCACCGACCGAGCTGCGAGTCTCTCGCTGCCGTGACTCAGTGGTGGCGGGCACCGTTTAGAACACAGGCAGGGAAAGCTGCCCCGTCACGGTCGACTGTCCTGTGTCTGCAGAGGGGGCCACGACACTTGGCGGTCGCTCCTGAGGTCTCTGCAGCACAGGGAGGCCCTCAGGAGGGAACTCCAACCACAGCAGAGAGCTGGCGTCATGCTCATCACCATGCAGACTCCCCAGCCCCAGATTCCTCACCTGAGGATGTCCCTATTGAGAGCTGCCACTCCCACACAGAGAAGGCGCAGCCAGGACGCGGCCAGGGAGACTCACAATGCTGCTGCCACTACAAGCTAAAAAATCAAAGCCAAACAAAGTGCAAAAACCACATTTTTAAGTCATGGGAAGCTGTGGAACAACAACAGATAGAAGACCTGCAGCCAAGAGGAGCGGCGGCCGGCAGAGCCACCCATCTGTCCCCTGGGCTAGGGCTGGGCTGCCCCAGGGAGCACACTGAGCCAGCACAGCACTGACACTTCCGATCACACACACAGCATGTGTCCCCCACAGGACGTCACCGAGTCCAGGGGCTGCACAGGCTGCAGAAACTGAAGGGCAGAGCACAAATCCTGCAGCCTCACAGCATCCTCGAGAAAGGGCCTGTTCAGACACAGCCAGAGCCTCCTCCAGACCTTTGCCAACTGTGCAAGCGGCTGGGGCGGGAGGTGACAAGAGAAAGCCACGCACCGCCAAAGCACAGACAGAACCTACAGGGCAGCAGTCGGGGAAGGAAACAGACGCCTGAGCCCTCGGTCGAGAGCCACGAGGCCCCCTTGTCCAAACAAAAAGAGAGCAAGTCACCCTAGGAAATAAAGGAAAGTTCATTCTCCAGGCCGTTTTTATACCTAGGGTTAGACAGATAAAAAAATTATAAGATGTGGCAAAAAGGCAGGAAAACACGACTGATAATCAAGAAGAAAGCTGGCTAATAGAAGCAGATGGCCCAGATGTGAGTCAGCAGAAAAGAACCTTAAATATTCATTATCAATACATTAAAGAAAATATGAATAAAATGGGCACAAATATGGGTAATTCTCAAAAAGGAACTAAATCAATACTAAAAAAAAATCAAATGTGTGTTCTAGAACTAAAAACTACAATATATGAAATTAATGTTATGAACTCATCTACCTATAAATGACACAGCCTAACTGTTCACATGATAAAATCATTTAAGAAAATATCCACCATAACAAAAAAAAAAGGGCCAAGCCCGTGGCGCACTTGGGAGAGTGTGGCGCTGGGAACGCAGCAGCGCTCCCGCCGCGGGTTCGGATCCTATATAGGGATGACCGGTGTGCTCACAGCGCTCACTGGCTGAGCGCCGTGCGGCCGGTCTCAAAAAGGACAAAAAAAGAAAAAAGAAAAGAAAAAAGAAAATATCCACCATAAGGTAAATGTCTTTTTTTACCACCTCTGAAGCAGGTATCATGGTTCAATGTTAAATGTCCTGCCAGATCTACAAAACTTTAGCTTAAAGAACACACACAAAACTAGGCATTCCCAAATGCAAAGATAATTGGAATTCCATTGAGCAATTAAGGAGGAGAAGCCTTGTCTAGATGCTAAATGATGACACACTCTCAAGGCTTTATTTCTTATCAGCAAAACCCAGACTCTGGAAAACTCAACAAGTCAAACAGTCTGGGTCCTTAAAAAGAAAAACTGTACATATGAGAAAGGGATAGAGAAAAACCTATATATTAAAATAAAAGAGACTTGGCTGGCCAGTTAGCTAAGTTGTTTAGAGCATGGTGTTATAACACCAAGGTCAAGTGATCGGATCCTCGTACCAGCCAGCTGCCAAAAAAATAAACAAATAAGTAAATAAATAAACAAAATAAAAGAGACTTAAATGACTTATCAATAAAAAAGAAAATAAAAAGACTTCTACTTGAATAGATATGGGAATAGATATAGGCCATGATATAGGAACAGGATTTGAACTTGCACTCCTACTATAAACTAGAAAACTGAATAAAACATATGAAACAAGTATTTTCAGACTTTGGACAAAAAGTAGCACAGGACTATGGTCCTGAGAGAAGGTAAACACACAAGGTAAGAACTAAGATCATCTCGCTTTCTG